TAGCTTTATTTTAAAAATCTTGCCCCATTCAAATGAATGGGAAAACTCCAATTCAGCAAACTTTCAGCTATCAAAATGTTCAGCTCTTCAAGGACATTCATACTACTATTCAGAACTTTTGAAAATCTCATACTTTTGAAATATTTAGTTTTATTTTGAAAATCTTGCCCCATTCAAATGAATGGGAAAATTCTACTTCAGCATACTTTTAGCTAGCAAAACCATTCAGATGTCAAAATGTTCAGCATTTTCAGGGCGATCTTTTAGCAGTCAGCATCCAGCAGTCAGCATTTTCCTCAGAAAATACATTTTTCTAGTGTCTATCTACAGTCTGTTATTCAGCAGGTATTACTAATCAAATGCACAGGATTACTCAATAGTAAGACTTAAGATTAATTCTGTGCACATGATTAGCAACATGTGGCTGCTGATTACTCTTAATGATTTTGGAAGTAGGAAAGGTGTACTTTTATATTTTCACCTGGTTTCTGAATGTTGGTTTATTTTTGGGAGACAGTAACCACATAATGGAATCTGTTGTGTTTTTTGTTGTCACCTGATGTCTTTTTTTTTTTTTTTACAGAAGTTGGTGAATTGAAGGAGGTACTTTCTTTTTATCAAGATTATATTCTGTATAGTGCCCATCTTTGCTCCTATTCTGAGTGTGTGGTTGCTCACTTTTCTTTCATAGGCTTTTTCCATGTTGTTTACACCATGTCAACACCAAAAGCATTGTGTGCAGCAAGAAACATCTCACGTGCACCTCGCCTGATGCTCACGTTTGTGTCTTTACCTGTTGTGTGTTCACTTTGTGTACAAGCAGCAAAGGGAAATCAACGGTCCAAAACTTGAACAAAAAGTAGACAATGAGAAAAAAGTTGGCAAGACATGGATTTCATGCATATGTTCAGTGTTCCTAACCCTTGGTTAAACACACACACACACACACACACACACACACACACACACACACACACACACACACACTGTTCAGTAGGATTGATGTAACAGATAGATCATATGTCTACAAACCCAATTCCAAAAAAGTCTGGCCAGTAGGGCTGGGCGATATGGCAAAAAATAAAAATCTAGGTTTTTTCATAAAATGTGACCGATTCACGATTTCGATTTCGATTTTTTTTTATGTGTAACTAGCCAACTTAAACACAAGTACAACAACGTGACTGAAGTAACATTCTCTTCTTAAGTAACTTGAAAAACCAGTTTAAGAAACATTGTATTTTAGTGTGCATGCCATACATAAATTGGTCAACAAGGTGTAAATAAATGTAAAACAAATTCTCTAATGAAATGTCTTTGCAGCTGAATTAAATATGAAAGTAAATATTGAATTCTTCTTAATACAGAGTAAGAAAATAACCATTTTAAATCAATGACCAATGATTTTAACCAATTAGTCAACTCAAAAATTAAGCACATTTACACCAGAAGCATTATTAACAGTAAATGTTTGATAAGAAGCCAGCACATCTTTAAGCCCTTGACCAATTACTTCCCCAGTATGATCGTCAGGAAAATAACATGTCTGAAGACAAATACTTTGCATTTTCCATTCTGCATCAACATAATGGGCTGTGAGGCTCATGTAAGGCTGAAGAGTACGACTACTCCACAGGTCAGTCGTCGTAGAAAAAAAAAGATGCCCTATCAAGCTGTTCCGCTACTTTTTCACGTGTTTCAGTGTACATTCGGGGAATAGCTACGTCTTTGAAATATTTGCGGCTTGGCAACGTGTATCTTGGATCAACAGTGCGAAGCATTTTTAGGAACCTGGCTTTTCGATGGTGTATATGGGAACCATGTCCTTAGCTATATGAAACGCCACAGCATCTGTAATTTCTTGCCATCGGGGCACCTTTCTGTCATATCATTGGAAAATGATGCCGCTAATGACATCTGGCGTTTTGCTATTTTAGGTTGCCCCGTTGCACTTGGCTTGTTTTCTTTTCTTAACTTTGAGCATTCTTCCCATTCTACTTGGTGTCTTTGTCGCAAATGTTGGAATAAATTAGTGGTGCTGCCA